TTGCTTTTGTTTATCTGCTTCTCCCGCTGCAGCAGCGTCGTCTGCTGAAGCCTCCCTCGCTGCTGGTTTTGGTGGCTGATTTGCAGGCTGATCACCCCCCCCCCCCCCCCCCCCCCCCCTCCTGTGACCCACGGACTGACTGGATTCAGAGCCACCGAGCAACTCACTGTGAGGTGTAAGTTTGTCTGAACCGCATGTTTTCTTGTTGAATTTGCCAAAAGAATCCTGTTGATAACTAATAAACCTTCCTTCCTCCAGCGTGCCTGCAGGTGCAGTCCTGTTTAGATCAGTGAGAGAAACTAAATAAATAATAAAAGCAGCTGCTGAACCACCAGACACACAGAACCAGCTCATTACTTTATATTTTCAGTTTATACACACACACATTTTAGTTTCTGTACGTACAGGCACATCCAGCCTGCACAGGTTCTCCTAAGACTGATCAGTGTTTGACATAACAAAGCTTTGAAATCACAAACTGGGTCCTGACTGAAATGCACTGATTAGTCCCGACATCAGATCTGACAGACCTCAAACTCTCTGTCAAAATGTATTCAAGCTAAGAGAGATCCTGTCTGACTATCAGGGGGCCGTGTCGAGGGCGGTACATCAAAAGAAAACTTCAGCCACACGTGAACACCTGACGCACACACCCATTTCAATCCCATATGACATGCATAAAAAAAATCTGCTAAATGGGAAGATGTATTTCATCTTCTTTCCAGAGTGCTGCACGATTCTGGTTCTGCTGCACACCTGCAGAGCTCAGCATCTGAACCGACGCGTAGACGTCAGACTCGTGAAGTGATCAAACCTGCTCTGAGATGCTGCACACAACGAGTAACTGAACACATGTTCAGAAATGAATCGATAAGTCAGTGAAATATACGCAGTGATGCATGTAGTGCTTCCGTCTGGGCAGAAGCATCGTCCAGCTTCTCTAGTTATTTCAATCAGGAGAAACTTCAGGAGTGAACAAAAAAGATTTCTGGACATTTGGAGTTTCAGTTAAATCTGCTGTTGTGTGGTTCTCAGACCTCGATCACACTGAGTCACTTCAGGCGTCACATCGCTAACAGATCTTAAAATCTAAAAAAGTTGAAATGCTTCTGAGAAGCATTCAAGACAGATTGAAATCTGATGGTTAAAAATGCCTCTGGAGGACGTTTGAGACTCGTTCTAGATGCTGAAAAGGTGCAACTGCATCAGTGATCGTTTCTCCTCTCACAGCCTAAAGCTGTGATCCCCCGAAAGTGAATCCAGCGTTTTGGGCTGGTCACTGCAAAGACGTGATTTCCTGCGAATTCGCTCCGGGCGGTGCGAAAGAGCCGTTTGTCGCGACATTCGCTGGTTCGCGCAAGTTCAGATTTTTCAACTTGGGCGAGAAATTAGCTTGACACGATGTTGCAAAAGCCAATCAGCGGTGAGACTGTCCAAACGTCACTGGCGGCTTCGGAGCGTTGTTTGGAGAGGACCAGGCGAGCGGTGTCATGACAATCCGCTGGCCGGCGGAGAGCTGCTAAAGAACGGGGCGTGTTCAGGGAGCAGCGCTGCAGCTTTCAGACAGATAAACACCCGCAGTCGGTCAGATTCTGCTCTGACAGCTACACCGTTTACTCACAGGAGGAGCTCGAGTTAACTGCTTTTATTAAATCAGCTTTTTACTTTAGTTTTTGGGATTTCAACGTTGATTTATCTTCACTGGAGCTTCTCAGCAGCTTCTGTGCACATCCTGTTCCACTGTTGTTGTTAGCGTCGTTAGCTCTGTCAGACTACGACTTCATATTTACATAAAAAACGGATAAAACTGGACATTAGTTGGAGAAAAGAAAGCGAGGAGGTTGAACTACCTGGTGAGTTCAGAAAACATGTGTCTGTAACTTTATTCCAGCTGTTGTTGGTCTTTACTGTGAACAGTTAGCGTAGCATAGCCCTGATCAAACCAAACTCCATTCAGAAAACAAACATTTTAATAGTTATATTCTGACAAAGCATGAATTCATATGTTTAAAAATCTGCTACATGTTGTAGTTATTTCAGCATTTTGATCCGTTTATTGCAATTAAATCACAGCAAAGGGTTTACTTTGGGTTCATATAGCTGTACTATCCGCGGGCTGTGATTTATTATTTTATTTGCTTCAAACGCGTTGTGTGTGTGTGAACACTCAAAATGTTCAGCGGTCAAACTCGCACGAGTAAAGCGAGGCGAATATTAACTTTCAGTGTGAACACACCTCAACAGTGTCCGTCTGTGGAAACATCCTCTCACTGTCTGATCTGTCTCTGAACGCCTCCATCGTCTCCCTCTGTCCTCTTGTGATAACAGGAAGTTACTCTGAAGTTTGTTCTCATTAAAGGACAAACATCTCCAGCCATTTCTACACAAAAACAATCTGACCCCTGAACAGTTCAAACACAAGCCGCTTACACACACAGATCCAGCAATAAACGCGGAAAGAATGTCCGCAACAGTGGACGTAACCCTGCAACAGTGTGTGCTTTCACACAGCGATCCAGCTTTCCAGGTTAGACCGTGAAAAGAAAAGAAAACGTGACTTGTAACAGTGTTGAAACGCCACACCTGTTCCGCCATGCCGGTGTGGCTTTTCACTACTTTCTCTATCTATTTACTAACAGCTGTGTTTTTTTAAATTAATTCTGGGATGATTGCTGTGTCAGTCTGAATTCCAGGATCCGGGTTGAGTTGTGTCCTCCCTGATGGAGAAGATGAGTCTGTTAGTATTTTTATTATGATTAACTGTGTTTGCAGATTTACATCCTGCAGCTGCAGCACCAGCAGTGGTGGAGTCTACGTGATACGCAGGGATACGGTAAATTCACCCCGTCTGTGTTGCGAAGCACTAAACTGAAGTTGGGGCTTCCGACTCAAGCTACACTCTTTGTGTTTTGTGCAGATGACACGAACGTTAAGGTTACTGAAACTACAGAAAACGAGCCGGATGAGGTGATGCTGTCGTAACGTTACCTGGTGAGTGAAAGTAGCATAAAGGTCATCATTAACGGAACTGTAACAGCATTTTTGGTCTATTGAATTGCATCTAGAGCTAGTTAACTAAGATCAATGTGGAGGATCAATGAATGTGGGATACTGTGTGTCTGTACAGTAGTAGAAGCAGCAGTTCCTGGATACTTGCTCATGCATTTCAGCTGATACAGAAGCTACATAACCTACGTTTGACAGTGGTTTTGGAAGATAAGTGTGCTTGAGAGGATGTGGACCACTTTTTGTGTCCTCACTGTTCATAACATTCTGTAATGAATGAGTGTTGGTGACAGAACTGCACATAGGCCTATGTTCATTGTTATTACTGCTGCTGATAAGCCTCAGCTTTCCATCATTGTTGATAATAGTTGCAACTAACATTCTTAAATATGCATTGAAAATTGCCAGCTGATGAAACCTGTGCTCCAGTGACCAGATTCGTATAAAATCTAAGGCTTCAAGCAGCTCCTAACTGGCAGAGTTAGGTTAATTACTTGGGCACAGTGCAGCGTTGCTTCATAAAAATGGTTATTAACACTAAGCATTAGGAAATCATTCTCCCCACCTGCATTGGTGTCATTTACACTGGGGACCCAGACACTGTTCCCACCACTTTTAGAAAGCATTTGTTAAAAATGTTCTGAAAAATAGCAACAAGAAATGTTAAACAAATGTAAGTGCTATGAAATTTTTCTTTTGGCACAATAAGAAAACGTACAATGTAAATATAGAAAAAACAGATCTGCATTGTCCAAAAAAAACATTTTATTTTATTAATTATAATTTTACATTGAATTGTCAGCTGCCAGCTGAATTTTGTGCTCCCCTTTATATAAATAAAGACTTTTCTACCATAAGTTGGTGCAGTAAATGTCCCCAAAATGCAGGAAGTAAGTGTTTAATGCTCAAAATCTTCTGGGGGAGGAGCCCCAGACCCTCCAATAGTTTTTCATCAGTGAACATTTCTGTTAAATAGTATTAAAATATCTTCTAGTCCTGTTCTTGTGACCCTGATATTCTGGATTGTCACGTCTCGTATGTGAAGTGTAACGCCCCAAAGGTGTAACGTAACGTAAATTATGTATTACGTGACGGGCCAACGATCGGCCCATAGAGCACAGACAGCGGCTCATTGGTTAATTTTCTGTACTGACACTGGACCGGCCCAATCACATCTCCTACTGGCCCCCGCCCCCTCTGCTCTCTGCTCTCTGTTTCCAACTGTTTTGCCAAATGCGCGAAAGCAACTGATATGTTTGCTGCTGGGGCTGCAGCAGCTTCAAGATCAGCTGCAGGACCCTGCGTGGAGCAGGTACAGGCACCTGAAGGAGTGAAGGAGCTGTGGTGGCCCCTGCCAGGCAGAGGAGGAGGATGTGTTAGCGAGTGACAAAGTGAGCAGGAGGCAAGAGGAGGTGAAGCGGTGAGCTTGGAGCAGCTCAACCTGCAGGGAGGGAGGCTCATTCACTCTGGGGACGCTGGGGACATGCAGCCCCCACTTTTGAAAGCATTTGTTAAAAATCTTCTGAAAAATATAATGAAGATATAAATAGAAATGTTGATTAACAAATAAAAATGCTGTGAAAAAGGTTTATTGCACAGTAAGCCTGCAATGCGTAAATCCAGAAGAAAACTGGTTGTGCAAAAAAGTAACTTAAGCTAAGTACAATAAGAAGGTACAGATTACTGCATTATATTCTATTCTGTTTTCATATTGTCACCTGCCACCTGAATTTTGTGCTCCCCTGGTTCAGAAAATGTCTCCAGAATGCAGGAAATTAAGTGTTTAACTCTTCTGGGGGAGGAGCCCCGGACCCTCCTATCGACTAATCCATCAATAGGCCTGCATTTGTTTTCATTTTTGTCTTGTTGTCATGGCCCCCAATCTTGTTCAATGTCACGTCTCATGGGCTGAGTTTTTCGTCACACCCCTAATCTGAGCCCTTAAATGGAAGGATGGGGTATTGTTGAGGGGAGTCCGACCGATTTTGGTGGGCCGCCTGGGCCAAAAATGCCAGAGCCACATACATGCATACTGTTTGTGAGCGTAGAGGTGCTTCTGGGATGTCGCTCTGGGAGGGGTGAGTATGAGGCTAAGAGGGAAAAATCACAGTATACTCAACAAAAAACTAGACTACACCACTGAGCACCAGTGTAGATATCAGCAGCCTGTTCAGCAGTCAGCTTTCTATTTTTGAACATGACAGGTTAATAGAGATTGATAGAAAAAAGAAAATAATTAGCTTATTTTTGATGAATCCGGGCATTCAAGATATCTTAAGGCACTAAAAATGATTTTCCTCAAGGTCATTTTAATATTGACTTCCATCAGGGTTCTGACAATATTGTTCTTTTTAAACAAACAATCGCAGATCCAGACTTTTGTCCCAGCAGAAAAATGAAATCCACTCTGCTGCTTCTGTAAATGTCAAAACTAAAACCTGCCAGGCGACTTCATGCAACTAAAACTGTTAGGAGATGATTCTGAGAGCAAAGGAGGATCTGGGTGAAAGAAGAGATCGATGAGGGACTGAGGAGAAACCAGATGGAGGCCCCGATCATCTATAAAACCCTTATAAACACAGCCACAGAGCAAACATTATGCATAATATAACCACATTACAGTTTGATGACTTACTGGCATCAGAACAACACTGAAGCATTAAGAACCGCAGCAGAGAGTCCTCACATCACCCAGATTATAATCCCCACCGACATCGAGAGACTCACACGGAAACCCTCCAGTCCGGATCTGCAACCTGACTGCACATCCATCCAGGGAGCTGCAAGCGCTGGAAACCATCATCCACAGCCTCCTGAACTCAGAGTGTCCCAGCTCGACATGGAAACGACTTCCTTGTGTCTTTTATAACAATATAACATCACAGTGCCATAGATGACCCGCTCTGGTCAGTTATTGAAATTCACAGGCTACATGGGTCGTTTTTCACCACCACCCCAGTAATATTCTTTACATTAGATGATCTGGCTCCGCCCACCTGATGGATTAACTGTGCATTCATGTGAATAATCAGAAAAGGATTTCCAGACTGGGGGGAAAAAACACGTGAACGCCGCCTGAAGTCAGAAAAACAACTGTAAGTTTGAGAAAATGTTGGTACACGAGTTGCCGAGTTGTTGACGTCACACATGTAGAAACATGGCGCACGACGCGGTTGATGGCTAGAAACGTTTCATTAATGGTGCGAAATCACATATTGCGTATACATTTGTTGCTCCTGTGTCATTTGTAATGTGGTATTAGGTTATAACAGGTAGTTTGCTGTCCATGTAGAGCGACTTAGATGAATTAAGAAAGATATTTATTAGCAGTATTTGCAGTACGAGCAATATTTGAATGGTTTTAAGTAGTGTTGTAGTACTTGAGACCGGTCTTAAGACCACTTTTTGATGGTCTTGTCTTGGACTCGACAGCATTTTATCTTGTCTCGGTCTCGGACATTGAGGACTTGGGATGTTATTCCAAGGCCAGTCAAGACCATAACTTTGGGAATATCAATAAATTACTATTGCGTCGTCTGATTTATTTGTTAATATCCAAACTTTGATTGGATGGAAAACGAATTGCTTCAATAGCAACCAATAACCCTAATTAAAAATGTGCTGTTCCTGTTAATGACTGACCCCCCTCCCCGCGATGGTCAGCATGGAAAAGGTCAAGGTCAAGGTGTCTTTATTAGTACCCGAGGGTAAAAGGAGAGTTGAATAAAGATGCTTACGTTGATTTCAGCTCTTAGTGTTTGTATGTGGGTGTTTTATGAGAATGTGGATCTTTCAGTTTGAGAAGTACCTGTGATCTCATTCCACATTTTATTGTGTGTCATATAATGTGGGGAACTAGACTTGGTCTTGACTTGGTCTCGCTCTCTCTCCGTCCCAATAAACTCTGGTCTTGGTCTTGACTTGGTCTCGGTTTGGGCGGTCTTGACTACAACACTAGTTTCAAGTAATGTAGTGGTGCATTAACAACTCTGGGACAAAAATCACTTTGTAATAGAAAGATTCAAACTGTTTAAGCAGATTTTGATTACAAACACTTGCATCTTTGTAGCAGCGTCCATGTTGTTTCCACATTCTGGCTTTAAAGGTTCAGTGTGTAAGTTTTAGTGCCATCTAGTGGTGAGGGTTGTGAATTGCAACCAGCGGCTCACGGTGCATTCATGTGCTCCTCAATGAGTTGTGAAGTCGTTCTTCCAGCTGTGTTTCATTTAATTTATTAGGAACCCCATTAGCTGTAGCCGAAGCCACAGATATTCTTCTTGGGGTCCACACGGACACAAAACTCTGTACAGTGTAGTACACAGAGAATCACACACACCAACACAACAAAGGCAATACAACCATACACAAACACGATACAACACACTACATTTCCCAGCACTCATCAGTAAAAATCACTCAACTGAACAAACAGAAGAAAACGAAAATAAGAAAATCTATTACCTGGTGTCTAAGCATCCTTGGATGAGGAAAGCTGTTTCGCCAGGAGATGTTGTTTCAGTGACATTTTAAATCAGTTTTTACTGTTCTCCTGAATAATATGCTCAGGCACAGCGTTTCATGCAACCATGGCTCAGTACATTACAGTGTTCTTCATTATGCTGGTTTTTGCTTTTGGTAGTGTGAGTCTACCCTCAGCAGCGTGCCTGGTATAATAGTCGTGCACATCTCAGCTCCAGCATAGCTGTCTATGTAATACCCTTGGTAATTTAGTAACTGAAATGTTTTTCTTTTTTAAATAAAGCAGTACATCTATCTTTTACCTTTAACCAGGTTCAAGAGCTGTACATTATATTTACATTAGTTCTATATGAGCATTGAAGTGTACAACATCTCCTCTTCCCATCTTACTCACCAATTCATCAATATGTGTAGACCATGATAATTTACAAACTATTTTAATACCTAAAAGTTTAATCTCTTGAACTCCTGAAACATCATTAACATACAAATGTTCATGTGCTCTA